AATCATTGGATTAAAGAATAAAAAGAACAGAATCGATTTATGCATTTTTGATTTATTAAGCATACATTGTTTTCAGGTAGATGTCTTAATATTGGTGTTAAATAATCAAATTGATATAAAAAAAAAAAAAAAATTTAAAAAGGATTTCGATAAATAAAATTGTCGGGCAGATCATAAATCATTAAAATCGATTTAGTCTAGTCTGAGATAAAGTAATTAAACTTTTTCTGTGAAAAATTTTCTTTGTAGAGAAAATATTCTATGACTAATAAAGCTAATTTAAATTATCTCCCCCTGATGATAACGATATAAACCATATCGGTCCAACCATAACTAATTGTTTCATTTGAGTAGTTTGTGGTATCTGAAAGACTAACAGAAAACGAACTACTACCAACATAGGGAATATCCCAATCAATGGAAATATATGCTTTAGAATTTCCAATAATAAAATCAGCCGAACCCTCAGTCCCGGTAATGTATTGGTTTGATCCGCTAGCAAATGCTATAGCATTTTCGCGCCATAATGTATCAATTGAGGTGGCACTACAATCGGGAGTCCATTCCCCTTTAGAAAGATAGGCATTACTAAAATATATATCTTCTTCACTCAGGTTAATTAGATAAACTGTTATGCTACGGCTTGCACTAGATGCATATCCTTCACAACACGCGAGATTGTTATCTTGGCAAAATGTAGTGGATGTTGTAAGTGGTACAATTAAAGTTACCACAAAAGAAAAAATAAAAATCGAAAATTTAAACATTACAAAGTTTACAAGTTTAAATTAAATAAGTTCAAGAATTATAATTTTTTTGAGTAGTAAAAAGAGAATTTTTTTCGTTTATAATTGCAGTTAATGAATGTGAACTCGTTAAATAGTTGTTAAATAGTGTTAAAAACTTGCTGAGTTTATTATTTCACAAAGCCATCGTACATTTATGATTGTAGGTAGATGCAAATAGTATAGTGTGGCTCTGAGTTTAGCTTTTGTTTATGCCATTTAACATGTGGCTTGATAAATATTGGAATTTGTGTTTATGCAGAATGCATACGATACGTAAGTTACTTATTATTAGTGTATAAATTATATATATACTGCTTACATAATAATGTAAATGTTGTTAAAACTGCAGAAAGTTGCAGAAAGTATCTACAAAACAATTAAATGCATGCCAATTGGCCATTATACCGTCGTAAGTAAATTCAAGATTTTTCAATGCTAACACTGTATGTAAATTATAACGAGCGCAAATGTTTATTCACTCAGTTTTTAAGTATTATTTATTCCCCGGGACGGTGGGAATAATGAAATATTTCCCCAGCAGCATATGTGGAGCGCTTTGCGCCCCATAAGTGCGACGCTGGGGAAATATTTTAATTATTTATTTTAATTTTTGCTTACAGGTTTTCCTGTACGGTATTAATATAAAAATAGAATACGTCACGGGAAATCCGCAGCAATTTACTAAGCCAATTGGCACGTGAATGGAACGCAACCAAACGTAAACCCACAATCCTCTTTTTAATGTACATTTTATTAGAAGAGGACTTGATAATAATTATATATATAGTGAACTGCTTATGTGTAAAATTTTGTAAGAAATTTTTTCATTAAGACAACCAGAGCAGTTTTATTGGCAAAATTTTGAGATATTGTAGACTTTTTAAAAATCGGTTACTAAAGTATCCTTCGCTCTGGTTGATACTCCGTGAAACGAGCCGATACATATAGTTATTAACATGTATTATTCCGTGAAATGACGTAACGTAACGTCCCATCCTTTGTCATAATGTCCGTATCATTAATTTTGTAAAGTTACTGCAAGTGCCACACGATCATGCAATTCCGTGCATTCTTGACGCAAACTCGTGCCACTTCTCGAATCATTTTTTTTATATTGCATGGAAATGGCATATGTTCTTTTTTTTAAATTTGGTTCTTGAGTTAGTGGGAGTAAATTAAAAATTTTAATCAGTTAGCAAATAATTATATTGAGTCCATTAGGCTTTACAGTGACTATGATTCCATTGCGTTAATAAATTTTATTTATTTGCTATAGCAATATTCAGTTTCCGCTTTATGTTATTCTCTTCTTTATATGTATATATAGCTATTATTTGTTTATTTTGGGCTTAGTGCCTTGTTAGGATCTGTTTGGTGTTTTTGTTAGCGGCTTTTATTGAAGCACAAAAAACGTGCGGCAGATCCTCGATTTTGATTGGGATCTTCAAAATTTTGGCCTGTGTTACATAATTGTTTATTAATTTCCGGCCGGAATTAACTTTTTAATATTTTCATTAAAAAAATAGAAACTTTTAAAAAATAAGCCTGCATTATGGTAAAATTGGTCCAGGAACAATTTCACTTAATGGGCGGCTGCGATTTCATTAGTATACAATCCTTTCACGTGTATTTGCGGTTCCCAAATTGGAAATAGTAGAGGCTTATTTCTAGTTGAAGGCGATTTCTCAGTTTGAAGTTGTATATGTGCATTGTAGCGGTATCTGTACAGATGGTATAAAAAAATAAATAGAATGTAACGATGCCTGTCATACTTAGGTATCGCACCCACAAAAATTGCCCCGTAATTTTACTGAGAATTAAACGTTTTAGGGTTAGGACGATAGAATTTCTATTGGTAAAATTTCACGAGGAACATTTTTAATTGGGCCGCAGAATGTGTTTTCTTAATTAAAATTTCGAGTTATTTCGTTACCTCTGATCTTGAAATCTGATTGATCAAAAATCACAATTTTTGTTGGTGCACTAGGGGTTTTGTCATAGTACGTGTAATAAAGCGGACTCGCTCCACTTATATTATGTCTAATTGTCTACCGTTTCCCTAAATAAAGCCCATGTTTCCGATATGAGTCTAATTAACATATAGGAAGCAGGAAGAGTTGGCCTAATAGACGTATTATTGAATAATTAAATTAGAAATCTCTTCTTATCGTTATATTGTTTTTATGTTAATTGTTATATTGTTAGTGATATTGTAAATACTGTGATTATTGTTATTCCGACTTTTCTTATAGGGATAGCGATCAGCCATGGAAGTTAGTAAAAAAAAACTAGTCTTCAAAAAAAATATACTTAAACACTTGCAAATATTTATAACTAAGCCTAAAGTGGTTTTGTTTTTGCAGGTGGCTTCAATAATAGTAATATGTTATTTTAAAGAAAAAATTATTATTATCACTGAAAAATTTTTAGAAATCATACTTGTTAAGTGAATTACCGTAAAATATGCAAAATAAGCACAGCACCCTCTACCCTGCTTTTTTTCAATTTCAGATTAACGGAATAGCTTAATTAAGGATTTTATTACTATTTTCGCTAATCTGAAATTGAAAAAAGTAGGTAGAGGGTGCTGTGCTTATTTTCCATATTTTACAGTAGTTAAATTCCATTAAAGAAATTACAATCCTGTAATAATCCGTCTTATTTATAATTAAAACTATTCTATTGAATTTTTTACGATACTATAAGAAATTGATAGTTTAAAAGAATGTATATTATAATTTGCACCAATGATTAACTGAGCAGTTTTCAGTGCTCTTGTAGTTTCTGGCTAGTTCCCAAAGAGATGAATAGTTAATACCGTATGATAAAAATTCCATAAATTCTAATACGTACCACTCTAATTTTACGTTGTTAAATCTTATTATAAATTATAATGATACTAAATTAATTATTAATAAAGTTAACGAATTGCAGGTTTACTAATTTTCCTTACCAGTTCCTATTGAACACATAAAAATCTTGCTTTTGATTGAGCGAAACATATTTCATCAGATTTTGAAATGACCAAAAACAGCACGCGTGTTAAATTTATAAAACATATCCAATATCAAGGTTTAACATGACATATACTATGCTAAAATTATTCAAGTAAAACTTTTTATGTAAACAAATGCTGAGATTTTATGACCTGACCGTGTGATTTTTTGGTAAACGAAGAGCGACGTAGCCTATATTGTTCAATAAGAGACGGCATTCACACATGACCAATCAAGACTGGGGAAATTAGGGATCCCAGAAATGCAATAGCATAAATTATTTTATCTAGACGATGACATTACAGATAATTTCATAATAGATAAATGATAAAAAATCATGTAATTGAATGTTGATTGTCGAAAGGAATTGTGCCCAGAAATTTGTATTAAAGTTCATAATTTCCAAAGAATATTACTAAAAAGATCTTAGTTAAGATTATATTTTACATTTATAAAGAAAAATCTCAAGGACTAGCTTATCTGATAAAAGTACTTATTGCTCAATTAAATAAACCATTTGATGCTTATTAGTAATTTTGTAAAAAAAATTTTTTAGTTCTTTTTGTAATGTTTAATATTACTTTTTTATTGTTATAAAAAACTTACAGTTGACCTTTCTGCAACGAACAGTTGAAAAAGAAAATTAATTATAGAAATCACTATTATTTATTAAAAGCTCATATCACTTTTTATAACATTTGAAATTTCTAAGTTCTTTATATCCAGAGTTTATTATATAGTGGTTCGTTTTATAAAGGAAATAAATAGGATCGGGCATTCTAAATAAAATGTTTAGGCCTTATATAACACATATATTAGATTATATAAACTCCCTCTTTATCCTAAAACTGTATCTCAACCTAAATTTTAATAGGGGTGGTTATATTACCCCTGGTTATAAATAGTTAAAAAACTAGATATTATATAAATAAATTTCGGGTTTACTAAAATGCATCATTGGTTATATATCAAAAACATACTAAGTAAATAAGGTTTGGAACACTAAGTAAAAATGTTCAAAACCTTTTTACTGTATATAATTTCTACGTATTTTACTTTATAACTGCATCCTAACTTTAAATTTCAAAAAAACTTATTAACACCATAAACACTATAATATTTGAAAGCTAATTTATTAATATCTTACTATATAGTAATTTAAAGTTTTTCTATAGAAGATTTTCAATAAAATTTATTTAAAAAAAGAATAAGATTAAAAACAATTACTTTTAAATTTGTATTAAAATATGTATATATTAAAATTATTAAAATAAAATAGTTTGCAAAAAAAAAAAAATTTTTTTTTAAATACTATATTTAAAATAATTTTATTAAATTTTCTAATTTTTAATATCTAAAATTGATAAAGTTAAAAATTAATTTCTTAAAAACTACTTAAAGTTAGCTATAAAATTTTATATATTAAATATAACTAGTAGGTTTATATATTTAAATTTGAAAATTGCATATTTAAAAATGGCCAAAATAATTAACTACAGTAGTGTCAAAACATTTTGAACAACCCACGTAAATATTCTACTCATTGTGTTCTATACTACGTAGTTGCCATATCTACAAATTAACTAGAAGACTGATTCTTTAAACTCTCTTGTCCCCAAGTTTCCAACATAGAAACACAACCAATCTAGACCAAGGTGATCTATTACAATTTCTTTGCCTCAGAACGGCACCTACTAGTACCTCACACAATTTATGCCAAATTTCCTGCTTTGTCACTATTTAGTGTAGACATAGTAAATGTATATTTACTCACAAAAAACAAGTTTTAAATTTTACATTGAAAAACAAGTTATAAACTTCACAATGTACAAATGAATATTATTAAACTATTCCAAATGCAGAAGCATCTTATGAGAATTATGCAAAATATTAACAGCCATTCGTTTTTAAGTTTGTTCATAACTGTAAATACTTTTTTACTTTGTTTTTCTGTACAGAAGTATTTGAACTGGAATTTATATCCAAAAGTTTAGGTTGATACTGTATATTGTGAGCTTTCTATAGTCATTTATAAAATTTTTCAACAGTTTTACAGATTTTCTATCGCATCTTTTATAAATGTTTTAAAATAAAATTGTCTTCAGTTTCAATATTATTTTTATTACTGTATTATATGCAATTAGAATATTATTCATACTTAACAAAAGGCCAAAAACTTCAGTTTTGGAGATTATTTCTTATTGAAATATTCAAAAAAAATTTTTATCAATATTAAAGAATTTCTATTGATATCACGATAACATTTTTTAATGGTTAATTCGGGAAGCAAAGTTTGAAATAACCATTTTATTTTAGTGGAATTTTTTTAAAAAAATTCATATATTAACCGATAATTTTGGAGAATTTATTAAAATCTAATAACTATAAGAGATGTATATATTGCTATTTTATTTATATATGTATCAAAATCTTTTAAAAAATTTATAAATTACACTAACATGCCTGAAAGGAATTTATAGAAATTGGGAATTAACAACAATATGTTACATAGTATCAATGTAAACTACAGTTGCACTCCCATATAGGCATCTACTATTAATACATTAGTTTATAAGAACATTTGTTTCTTGAACCGCTACAATTAAATATATTGTATCGAAATAATTTTTAGTTTACTTTATTTTTTTTTTATTATTTTGTTTGTTATTCTATTTTTGTTTCGTTTATTTTATTCTTATTATACCAGTTTTATTTAGTTTAGTTATTTTTTTTTGTATATAGAGTTATTTACCAATTCCATTTTGATAACAGTACCCACGTAGTATAATCACGATGGGAACATTTTATTAGTTATACTGAAAAGGAAAGTGATAGTGGCTTGGTGGCTTTTCTCCCAAAAACGCGTGAACGCTCTAAATAGTGTGTATGCGCGCTTACACAAATATGTAGATTCTGCGCCAAAAGCGTAGTCGCACAAATTAAAGCGTATTCGCTTGGAAAAGAATGTGTACGGTCAAAATAATATGAATTCGCTTTCGAAAGAGCGTAAACGCTCTGAAGAATTAAAATGTATATAAGTTCTCTGAAAATTAATAAAGTGGAACAAGTTCCACGTCCATTTTGCTTACTATTCAAGTACAGTAATAAAGTAAATACTTATTCATTGTAATTTCGACTTTAACTTTAATAAACCCTTTGAGACTCAATTCGACGGACGGAATTGACTTGTAACTTCAATCGGCTTATTGAGACTCGGAATTCTGCATAACGACGTTCTTAACATCTTCGGAACTTGGTCACGTGATTCTCTTTGAAGGAACCTTCGGTCAAGAAAAGTATTAGTTTGACGCGTGAAAATAGAGAAGCCCTGCCACCATTGGCATCACCAGCATCAGCTGATTTTATGAACAACTGAAATAAGATATGATTTTAAATATAAAGTATCCATATATC